CCGAAACTGCGGCATGACCTCCGTCCTTTGCAGCGGGTATGCCGGCTGCGTATGTTGGCGCATCCCCTGAGCCTCATTTTCAGCCCACCATGCAGCCTTTCCAGCCACCGTTCCGGGCGAGACCCACCCCAGCAAACCGATGGCGCACACTCGACAACCGGCCCATCTGCATTGCTTGCGGTTACGCCGGTCACGTAGCCCGTTATTGCTCTCGACTACAGCCGGCTCCCATTTCTTCTCCTGTTGCTGGCCACCTTAGCCGTTCGCATAACGACGAACTGCCGTCTGTGCCACTGTCGGCTCGCCCAGGTCCGTCTGCTCGAAGGTCGCCGTCTCCACGAAGTCGGTCTCTGCCCCCATGCGGTCAAGTTCTTCTGCTCATGAGCGGGAAAACTAGTCGTCGCAGTCCCAGAGGCAAGGACTGCGACGCTATCGCATTGTGAAAGCCCTCAGAGCCGCCCATCTAATGTCATTCACGTGCTTGTGGACGGTGTTCATGCATCTGCTCTTATTGACACTGGAGCTGCGGTATCAGTTATGAGCGAAAACCTTTGCCGCTTGCTTCGAAAAGTGAGGACGCCGATTTCTGGAATCTCCCTTCGTACTGCTAGCTCACATTGTAATAATCCTGCAGCAGGCTGCACAGCTCGCGTTGTCGTTCAGGACGTTCTGTATGTTGCCAAAATTCATCATCATTCCTGCATGCTCTCATGACGTCATCCTGGGATGGGATTTTCTCTCCCGCAACGACGCCGTCATTCACTGTGCCGCCGCCGAAATTGAACTCTCGCCCTTCTCGCATTTGACGCCAGAAGACGGTCCCTCGACACTGAGCAAGATTCTTGTGAAAGACGATACTATAGTGCCTCCAAGCCCGACGATGGGTGTATCGGTCTACTGCACCGGTCTCTCCGACACAATTGCACTCGTTTCGCCATCCTACCGTGCTTCCAGAAGGAAAGGGTTGCTAGTACCTTTCGCGACCATGCAAATCACCCAGGGCAACGCCGCTATTTTCGTGACCAACTCATCCCCATACACTGTTACCTTGGTTCGAGGGGAACGTCTCGGCAGAGTGGAACCAGTCGACGACGCACAAGTCCTAGACGCACCCGAAGACTCGCGTTGTCCCGATTCGCGTACAATCAGTGCTGTTTGTACTTCTGACCCCTCATCTCGTGATGTATTTGGCCCATACATTGATGACGACCTCACGTCGGTACAGCGTTCCCAGCTTCTAGACCTGTTGCAAGACTACCGTTCTTCTTTCGATGTCGGGCGAAGTTCTCTCGGTCACGCGTCCACTGTAACGCATCGTATCGACACTGGTGCCCATCCACCATTACGGCAACGTCCATACCGCGTGTCGCCTACTGAACGCCGGGAAATTAACGAACAGGTTGACGATATGCTCCGACGCGACGTCATTCGGCCCTCGGACAGTCCATGGGCGTCTGTTGTTGTTCTTGTTGCGAAGAAAGATGATTCTGTGCGGTTCTGTGTGGACTACAGACGGCTCAATAAGATCACTCGCAAGGATGTCTACCCACTGCCGCGCATCGACGACGCGATTGACAGCCTTCACGGAGCCCAATTTTTTTCTTCTCTCGATCTGCACTCGGGGTACTGGCAAGTACCCCTGGTTGATGACGCTCGACCGAAAACTGCCTTCATCACACCCGACGGCTTGTACGAATTCAACGTCATGCCGTTTGGTCTGTGTAATGCACCTGCGACATTTGAGCGCATGGTGCACCCCGTTCTGCGCAACTTGAAATGGCACACGTGCTTGTGTTACCTCGATGACGTTGTTGTCTTCGCTCCAGATTTCTCCACCCATCTCCAACGTCTAAAAGAAGTTTTCGCACGTGTGAGCAATGCCAGCTTGCAACTAAATCTGAAGAAGTGCCGCTTTGCAGCACGCCAACTCACCATCCTAGGGTACGTCGTGTCCAAGGATGGCATTCTTCCTGACCCAGCCAAGGTTCGGGCCGTGGCCAAATTCCCAAAACCTGCGTCCGTCAAAGAACTGCGTAGTTTCGTGGGCCTGTGCTCATACTTCCAACGCTTCATACGAAACTTCGCCACGATTATATCACCGCTGACGAAGCTCTTTGGAAGTAACGGGCCCCTTCAATTCGTGGTCGTCAGAGTGCGACAACGCGTTCTTGAAGCTCCGCCATTTGTTGACGTCTCCTCCCATTCTCCGCCACTACGACCCTACGGCCCCAATGGAGGTGCACACGGACGCCAGCGGTGTAGGCCTCGGCGCTGTCCTGGCGCAGCGCAAACCCGGATTCCCTGAATATGTCGTAGCATACGCAAGCCGTACGCTCACGAGAGCCGAGACAAACTACACCGTCACGGAGAAAGAGTGCCTGGCAATCGTGTGGGCCCTTACTAAGTTTCGACCTTATTTGTATGGTTGCCCATTCGATGTCACCGACCATCATGCACTATGCTGCCTTTCATCATTGAAGGATCCCTCAGGCCGCCTCGCCCGTTGGGCTCTTCGCTTACAAGACTACGACATCCGCGTGCTCTACCGCAACAGACGCCAGCATGCTGACGCCGACGCCCTCTCGTGCTCCCCTCTGCCTGAAGCTGACGTGCTCTGCTCAGTATCCTCGGTTGCTGTTTCTGCCATTGATGTTGACATCATCGCTACCGAACAGCGAAAGGATAATTGGATCGCCCAGCTGATCGACTTGCTCTCTGATCCGTCCGCAACGCCATCCACGCGTGCCTTGCGTCGTCGAGCTCACCATTTCGCCATTCGTGACGGCCTCTTACACCGACGCAATTACGACGCCGATGGCCGGCAGTGGCTACACGTGATACCCCGCAGTCTGCGGTCGGAGATATGTGAATCCTTCCATTCTGATCCACAGTGCGCGCACTTTGGGGTATTCAAAACCTACCATCGCATTAGACAACGCTACTTCTGGCGCGGGATGTACCGCTACGTCCAGCAGTTCGTTCGCTCCTGTCTCGCTTGCCAACGCCGCAAACCATCCGAACACATGTCACCAGCCGGTCTGCAACCGTTACCTTGCCCTGACCGTCCGTTGGGGCGCATAGGTATCGATTTGTATGGACCACTCCCTCTGACGTCCACTGGCAACCACTGGGCCATCGTCGCCGTAGATCATTTAACGCGATACGCCGAAACCGCTGCTCTCCCTGCGGCTACTGCACGTGTTGTTGCGTCCTTCCTACTACATCGATTCATACTGCGCCACGGTCCACCCCAGGAGCTTCTCAGTGATCGAGGCCATGTCATCTTGTCAGAAGTCGTGGACGCCATTCTCACTGAGTGCCATTCTGTCCATCGCAAAACTACTGCTTACCACCCGCAGACGAATGGCCTGACCGAACGCTTTAACCGCACCCTCGGCGACATGCTCTCGATGTACGTCGCCGCCAACCACACGAATTGGGATACCATACTGCCCTTCGTCACCTACGCCTACAACACCGCCCCTCAGAGCACGACTGGTTTTTCACCTTTCTTTTTGCTGTACGGAAGGCACCCGTCACACACCATCGACACAATACTCCCGTACACGCCGGATCTATCTGAGTGTACACCTATTTCCGAGACCGCCAGGCTTGCTGAATAGTGTCGCGAGCTTGCGAAGACTTTTACGACGCATGAGCAAGAGCGGCAGAAGAGTATTCGTGATGGCTCTGCCACTTCTGAGCCCACGTTCATTCCTGGTTCCCTTGTATGGCTTTCAATCCCGACCTCTGCAGCTGGCCTTTCTTCCAAACTACTCCCGAAATATGAAGGTCCCTACCGTGTGATCGAGCGCACATCTCCGGTCAACTATCTTATCGAGCCAATTGAACAATCTTCGGACATGCGCCGCCGCGGGCGCGACATAGTCAACGTGGAGCGTCTGGAGGCTTACTATGACCCGCTCGTAGTGACAAGCTGTTAGGTCGCCAGGCGGCTCCCTCTTCGACCCCGGGGTAATTGTAGAGAAGCCGCCGAACACTGAAATGGGTCGAACTCTCAAGTGCTTTCTAGTGGGTCTGCCCAAAAAGAACGCCGCTCGCGCGGGGAGTCCGAGCTTGGCTGTTACTGTCGCCATTTTGTAGACTCGCTGTGTGCCGGCTAATAAACGCCATAACAATATATATATATATATATATATATATATATATATATATATATATATATATATATATATATATATATATATATATATTGCTGAGTTTTTGTGCACGTGTAACGAGACCAAAGTTTGTGCCGGAACCCATTTGGGGCTTCCGTATATGCCTGATCCATCACTAAAAACAGTTCACCATCGCTTTCCGCACTATACGGCGGGAAAATAATTTCATGACGTTTGCGACAGTAGGTGGCCGAAGTTCCACCTAGGAGTTCGACTTTGTCAGCTTAAATAAGCAGATGGGACGCCCTATCAGCTTACTACGCCACTGCAGTCGTAGATTATAAGTAAATCTGAGTCGTGCAATGTATAGCTCAATTTCTAGTATATTGACACTGTTATAGCTTTTTATATACAAATCACAAATTGAAATTTAGTTCACTGTCCACCTTCGAGAAGGACAAAACAATTTTTTAGTCGTGACATTAGCTATGTGGCACTCAGAAAGAAATTAACCGTTTTTTTGATTCCTTAATTTCTTGTTTATAACTAAGTCCTCAAATCATTTCTTTAATTGCATTGATCTTCCAGTGAGCACTCAACAAGACTGAAAAGTCGCTGTTCTGATAAATGTCAACTTGAACGCCAATGAATTTCACGACAGGGTTTGAGGACGTAGTTTATGAAATAGATGTTCTGTATGAAAATAATTTAGGCTAAATTTTTGTTGTGAGTTGTTTGTCATGTCAAGATAAACTTTCTCTCTGCATTTCACACACACACAATAAAAAAAGAGTTTATAAAAATTAAGCTCCGATTAGTGCACAGGCAAGTATATGAACGGCAAAACTATCCAACGCCGTCTCTCTAATCTCATCCCAGAAAGCGGACTGTGCTTTGCAAGGGTCCGGACCCCCAGAACCGGCGTGGACCAGATCCTTCGCTGCGCAATGGACCAGATCCCAAGAACCACAGCGGCATCAAGTGGCGCTCGGACTGCACCGGCTGGAAAGGGCCCAAAGCGGATGCGATGCTTTTGCTGGCAAAGCCCAAGAGGCGCCGCAAGAGAGGAGCCAAACACGTGACCACGGGTACCGCTGCCGAAGAGCGCACAGACGAGGAAGAGCCCGACCGAACGCCGCACATTAGGGTGCACCGCATAGAGTCCGAGGTGTGACTCGATCCCGCTAATTCTGCCGAACTAATACTGCTGCCGCTTATGCCGCTGCTGCTTGAACGCTGCTTCGCCTTCAACGAGACCATGCCTAGAGGGTTTCCTAAAATGTACGCCTGGCACCACATGGGAATACGAAACAAATGGTGGTCGCGTCGATCAGGCGCACGACAACAGCACCCTGCCAACATTACCATTCGCACTGTACGTGAGAATTGTCCGTAAGAATGGGTGCCAGCCAATCGTGGTGGCGGCCAACGAGATAGCAGACCGAATGCACTGGTTATTGACAAGCAGTTCATGCGAATGAAAACAAGTGGTGATCCGGCTGACCATAGACCCAAGATGCAAAAAAAAAATAAAGAGAGAGGAAAAAAACAAAAAGTCAACTGGGAAAAAGAAAACAATTATCAAAATCAAGCATGAAAAGCTTTGCAGTTATGGACATAAGTGGGCTTTGCATTCGGCGTAATTGGCACTTGCCGCCAGTTTCTTTGCCACATTCATAAGTATCGTACTGTTAGGACAAATGGCACGCACCCAATAATTGATTGGGGCGATTCGTTACGTTCATACACATTTGTAAATAAAGCTTTGTTGACAGAATACCTCTAAGACGTCAATTTGATCGAATGACGGATCAGCACGAGCTTGACTCAGCCACCCTCAGGGCTTCCACATTTTCTCTGAGATAAAGTCCCTTAATCCAAGGGCATCACTTAAGATCACTTCCATGTGGTAACACGTCTAGAAAACAACACAGGACGACGTTAATTTGACACAGCCTGGAGATATGGAGATAAAAAGATTCACGCGCAAGCCTGGACAGCTCGCACGCTGCATATGTTGAGGAAGGAGCTGTAGTAAAACCTGGCAATACTTGTTGCTACGTAGTCTATACTCAGTATTTTGCCGCTCTGCACTCCGAAAACTAGTACTTCAGTGTTCGATTCCACGAATATCGTGAGAAGATAGAAATATAATTGCAGAGGATAGACGAGTTGCAAAGCTGTGAGGCAGCTTTCTTTGCAATACAGGAATCCACGCGCTACTGCGTTGCCTCCCTTGTTACGCGCAGCGTTTGCACAGCTTGGCCATAACCGGGCTCTAGAAGATGGGCGTATCCCCACCCCACATTGTGCATTCAGGCGTAGCGGTGGTCATTCAGTCTGTCAAAGAACTTTATTGAAGCCCTGAGGGGCCAATTTCCCTCGCCGGTGGTGCCTCCTATCTTCGCTACACTGCACGTAACAATTCTTGCAAGGTCGGGAGGCAACGCTGTAGTGCATAAATTTTGTTGGGCATAAAGGTTGTCTTGTATTTTTTCCAAATTGTCTATTAAGCCACATGATGAGCACTAGTGGGTCGGGCACTAAGTGTTACCTCTATGACGCGTTCATTAACATATATGAAAGATTTCTAATGTATATTACATGAAGCGAAAAAATGCGGCGTTTGTCCGGCACCAGTCGGCGTTAACATTTCATGGAGAGAAAATTCATGTGGCAAAGTGATGACGTCACGATGGTTTTGTCTCCCAGTTGGAAAAAGTAACTTGACCGAATTCAAGAAAAGACCAAGGAATCACGTAATGTGACACAGTCACATCACAAAATAAAACATTTTGTTGCTGAGTCAAATGATCAAATGATGACATCAAGTGCCAGTATAAGCCGACAGAACGAAGCAAGGAAAAATTGGAGAGGCCGCGAAGTGACACGTACTCTCTCAAGCCTCGGTAAAGCCGGAAGTCCGCCGTAATGACCGGGTAGATCCACTGGCATACCGAGTATATATATATATATATATATATATATATATATACATTCTGCTCACAGCTGGTTATTTTTCACCCACTTTTCTTTCTTCTTATTTACATTCTATTGGTTCTAATAATTTCCCCTATACATTCCTTGGCATTACTGTCTGTTAGATCTCATTAATATTGTGTCAAAACACGGAAAAACGAGCCCTTAGGTATACTTCTTTCCCTTATTCATTAATGAGGGTCTCGTACTAGCAGACTTGATGTAATTAGGTTGTATACGAGGGACTATTGATCAGCTGCCCACTCGTAATAAGTTCACGTGCTATTTGACGCCAAACATGCGAATAAAAGAGTGTTTCACACTCGTCGCTTGGCTTATAGATGGCGCTGACTGACACTCCTACTTCTAAATTTACATATAGACCCCCAAAAAAGTGGATGGAGGAAAGGCCGCTGTGAGAGCTCAGTGGTTAGAGCATCGAACGCGTTATTCAAAGGTCGTAGGTTCGATTTCTGCTTACGGCTGGTTATTTTTTACCCACTTTTCTTTCTTCTTATTTACGTTCTATTGGTTCTAATAACTTCCCCTATACATTCCTTGGCATTACTGTCTGTTAGATCTCATTATTATTGTGTCAAAACACGGAAAAACGAGCCCTTAGGTATACTTCTTTCCCTTATATATATATATATATATATATATATATATATATATGACAGTAAGGCTCCTGCCGTTCGTGCACACGAACTCCACGAAATACTTTGAGGCAGTTAACATGACCATGCCGCGGCAATGGCTGAATAACAAACCTTCGTCAACTAACTTTTTCATTATCGACTTGAGAGGAGCTGTTTATATTACGAATTTGTAGGGCGTAACACTTTAGTGCATACCTATATTTTAAAAGTAAAAAAAAGTTACACGCAGTTAGAGATGTTGATCATCGAACTTGACGAGTGAAATCGCAACTCGAAAAAAAAAAAAGGCAAGTGGACGAAAAGGTAAGTTGTATTTTCATACACTTTTATTTATTCACGTTTACATGGCAATCACTTCAAATTATAGCCCCTATGTTTTCCTTGGAATCACTTTCTGTTAGTTCTCATTAATATATCATGCATACGCAATGCGTGTAATGCGTGCAATAGTATTACAAGTTGATGTACAAAAGTATTATAGGTTAACTACACAACTTGACGCTTGAATACAATCATGTCCACAGTGGCCATCCCAGCAGTATGAATGTGTGTCATTCAATGAACTTTCGTTAATGTCCTAAAGCTGCTCACTTATAATTGCGTTTTAATGTAAGTAGCATTGGGTAAGAATACTGTGATTTGCATATAGTACATTTTGCTTTTAGCAGAAATTGTGTTCACAGTATTATTATTATTATTATTATTATTATTATTATTATTATTATTATTATTATTATTATTATTATTATTATTATTATTCTTACTACTACTACTACTACTACTACTACTACTACTACTACTACTACTACTACTACTACTACTACTACTACTTGTCAGCCACAACTTTTCGATAAATGTAAATATGTGTTATTAGAGGTGCAGTACATCCTTCATACTGCACGCATTTGCATTTGCGACTTAGAGGGCATTCCAGCTCCTCCAAGTACATGGGATGAGCTAGGGGGGGGGGGGGGGGAGCTGTTGGGGAGTTGAAACTTCCCGAAATATACATGCACACCTACTTACATAAAATAAAGTATGATTGAAGCCCCTCCCCCCAAAATACTAATTCTGACTACGCCCTGATCCAAGTAAATGAGATTACGCTAAGAGTAAGCTTAAATATTTTTTGAAAAAAAAAAATGTGGGTCATTATAATGGTAAAATACGCCACATTGTTTACTTACACGTTGTTCGTTAGCTGTTTTTGATGGGTCGAAATTTTCTGGCTCATGCACACACCTGCTAGTAACGCAATGCAATAAATGGCGCGAAATTGATCAGTCGCTTAGTGACCACTTATGTGCTACTGTATAAGAGAGAGAGAGAGAGAACACATCGTACTCTGAAGCATATTTTTCGTCTTTTGTTTTTCGCCATTAGAAAAATGTGTTTAGGTGTGCCATATAATCACCTGCGTGTTACGGATAGTCACTAAACGGTGAAATCTGGCGTGGTTAAAATGACGGAAGCACATTAAATGTCGCATTACTATACTTAACTTAGACCTAAGCGTTTTCGTAATAGTCGAAGAGTGTCCCGCTCTGAACGCAATTCAGGAAGGCTATACACCTTCCAGCGCGTGCACTGGGTAAGCCCTCTCTTCAGTTCTCTTCTTCCTCAGTGCCAGAGAGGGATGCCGAATTAGTTTACACGTTTACACACACCGTGCTTTTACACTCGGTGAACGTAAGTAGACTTAATAGTTTATGTCACTTCTTTCCCATTTGGCCACTTCAAATTTACATGTGCATTAATTATTACAGAGAAGGGCAGTATCGCGATACAAGAGTATCGTGATAGTACTTCAGAGAAACTTTTGAGTATCTGTACTGCTGCATCGAGATGCTTTTCAAAAATGTATTTGTATCTCAGTAGTGGTATAATTTTACGATGTAACGCCCTTATCGCAATACTATCCAGGACACTGGTATCTTGTTACTTTTTTTAAAATAAGCTGAGACGTGTTGACAATGGGAAGAAAAAACTTTTTTCTGCTGTGACCTTCGCAGTACGCGGCGAGATACGCATCCACCATTTCTACATTTCTGCTGAGAGCAAACCTGACTCCTACCTTCTTGAAAGCGAGCTAGTCGCTTTGCTACCCGCTTTTCATTGTGCACCTTCAGGCAGAATTGGAATGGGCTTGAATGATCGCTTGCTTGAGCTTGCCAACAATATTATACTGCAATTTTGAATTCCAGCAGTGATATTTTCATTGTGAGGAGCATTGTATGCTGCACAATGGGCGCTAACCAACAGCGTCGTTTTTTAAATGTTTTCCCCCATTCCAATTGAACGAGCAGGGCTTTTTTTTTTCTCTTGTTCTTTTTTCCTCTTTTTTTTTTGCGGCATCCATTTGAAAAACTGGAGCATATCGCGGAAGCCACACACCACCCAAACAATTTTGCGTGTAGTGTCACGTGCCATCAATGATACTTCTTTCTCTAAAGCATTTCTGGAAGACGCCAGCATGGCCACATATGGTGATTGGAAGAAGCTTGCTGTTTTTGCGTTTCTATTCGCATTCCTTGTTTTGTTCATTCTCCTTTCTGCTTTTTCTGTGTCTCTAAGAAACACTAAACAATAAAGTGCAAGTAAGCGCTTGTCTTCACTGTTTATGTGTTCTTCTCCTGCTTCGTGCTAGGCCACTATAGCAAAACTCGAAACCAACTAGCCTGAACCACTAGTCTACTAAGTAGAAGGTCGTTGAAGTAAGCGTCGACATTACAGTGACAGCAAGGAATTCAAGAGCCTTACTTTCTTTTTTAGTTCAGAGACACATGCTGACCACTGTGTTCGTCCAGTGTTGCCCGTAACGCGTTACAAGTAACGACGTTAGCGGTATGCAATGTTCTTTAGGTAATTCAGTAACGTACTTGTCACAATTTTGGAACTGTAACGGGTAATGTACTTACGTTAAGGTGGCGGTTCCACACCAGCGGCACCCGCTCCACATGTTTTTTTCAACTATAAAGTCTGCCCTAGGCATAATAATTTTTCAAAAGTACACATACAAGTTTTCTTCATGTATGAAGTCTAGTAGAGAACGGCGGTGTGGTTCACAAAGCCAGCGGTCAAAGTAGGGTGGTCGGCCAGGCCTGAGACCTGTTGCACGGAGGTGACGGTGACGACTTAATTGTAGACCAGTGCAGGTTCACAGTAAGTGTGAGGCAGTTACATCTTGGATTGGGGCGTCACGAAATGGGCATGATGTACCATACGGGCCTCGGTACTTTTGCGCCCAAAGGCCACGTGGTCACGGATGGGGTAAGCGCAACACCAACATGAAGCCTCCGCAACGTAACCTCCTCTCGGCGGGTTAAACCGCCAGGGAGGTCTAATTCACACGGAGGTATAAGAGCTCGTGTGGCACGTCGGATGCTTTCTTTTTCTCGGAGCATCTGTCCTTGAGCGTCCTCAGGAAAATGCGGTAGCGGGTATGGTGCAACTGGAGGGTGGGTTGCCAGATCAGCTTTTACAAGGTCCGGCAAAGTGGCCCATGGAACCCTCTGAACACGTATTTGCACAGATGCGGAGCCAGCAAGAACGTGAAAATTATCCGAGAGTGATGTAGAGTAGAGTGATGTCGTGTATCGTGAATAGCTTGCGTCGAGTCCGTACGAATGATAAGCTGGGAGCATCTGCCTAGTTGTAAAAGACGTAGCAGCGCTACCAATCTATCACGTATGGTGACCAGCTCAGCAAGGTGAGACGGCGGGGCAGGATCCACAAAACATGAGCATGTCTGGCCAGCCTCTGGTATTAATGTACATACAATCGTGGTATGAATGGTGTTGCCGCTCACAATGGCATCCGTATAAGCGACGACAGTAGTGGCATCTAGGTTATCTGTACGAAGCAGGCGGGATACTTGGGCGTTCGCCTAGCGTGAAACCGGGCTGTAAAGGCTGCCAAAGGGGTTTGCTTTCAGTCAGTTGAATTTTGTTCCACGGGGCGACAGTGGTAGTATCTGAAGGTGTCTGGTGAACTTCTTTGCCCATGTACCGCGCCAATGCAGCAGCCGAACACAACGTTGATGGCTTGAGGTTGCGCGCACAGCGACGCTGATGCACAAATTCATCAATTGTGTTTAGTTGGGACTCCCGTTGAAGTACTGTCAGTGGGGTGATGCGTTGCAGTCCAGTTACGGCACGCATGGCTTCGTTGTTGATCGCGTCTAGACGTGCCATGCCCACTCTGCCAGCGTGAGGTGATGAAACTGGGCGCGGTAAACAAGCCTTGGCTGCAATATTGCACGGACAAGGAGGCGAGCCACCTCTAAGGTAGTACCACCAGACTTCTTCGCTATCCTTCGTATGAGGTGTATTGTTTCTGATGTCTGATGCTTGGAACTCTTGACCCAAGGTCCTGCAGATCCGGTGGCGTGAATTTTCAGGCCAAGCACGCGCAGATCTGAGGCTTCGAGTAGTGGCTGCTGATCCAAAATTAACTGCAGACGATAGTTATTACGCGAGAACAGAACGACGACACAGCCTGACAAGAAGGACACGAGCACTCGTGTCCTTCTTGTCTCTGTGTCATCGTTCTGTTCTCACGCTATAACTATCGTCATGGCATACCAACTAGCCCAAGCTGCCACACTTCTAACGGCAGAAGCCGGACTTCCAGTTTACGACGTCCATACTTGTTCGCAACCAACATGAACTTTTTTTTTCAGATTTAGAGACCAATGTGGGCGCACCAGTTGTGAGTTATGTCGGGTGCCTCTTGCAATGATTGTTTTTGACAGCTGATATCTGGGTGCACTGACCAAAAAGTGATGTAGTCTGCATACATATTGTAATTTGCGTGGTGTATTACCGCCAGCTTCCATGTCAGTGGGGGGAAGGTCACGTTTTAGTCATTGTTTGCTGACACACTGAGCTTGCTACGCTCATCGTAACGATGTGAATTGTATGCACTATAACACAAATTTGTGCTCCTCTGCAGTGGTAGAGTGACTTCTCTCGTTCGCGATTCTTGTGTTGAGGCCAAACCAATGATGTCTAAATGACGGCCTATTTGAGGAGCTACTGCTGCTTAAGTGCAATTAGACAGTTATAGTATACCGGGCTTACCGGAATACCAGGCGTACCGTGATAGCGGAATTGAAGTACGCATGCGCTGATACGTACGTCACCCATACCGCTTGTGTACGTAGTGTACGTGAAACATGACGGCACTCCCGTACGCCCGCTTCGAAGTGATTTTGGCGTAGTTCTTGAAAGATTCACCTTGTTCGCAGCAAACGACTGTTTCAAGTGGCTTCGCTTGCCTTCAGTTAGCTTCGATGACCGAGTATTACGGATAAGTTGGCGTAATTTTAGAGATAGCTTTCCGATTCGAACGCATCTAGGCCTAACTACAAGATTGATGTAAACAAATCGGACACATAACTTTTTCACGTTTGGTGCGTGGTTCATATTTATTTGCTTTTATTATTAGCAGAATAAACTTGTAACAATGCTTCGCGTGGTTGAATAGGCAAACATTCTCGTTTCCTTTTCACTGTCTTTAACTTATTAACTATCTGAAAGGTAGCGTCACCATCCCAGCTGGGGCACGTAAACACTATCCCGCTAAACTATAAGGCGCTGTCCACAACGAACGTTTGCTGCATGGTAACGCCATTCCCTTATAACCTCCACTATCACATTAACCGTAAACTATAACTGTCTATTGATGCGCCAAACATTTCAACAAAACAGATGTGTTAAATAAAAGCATGCCTTTGCTCATTTCGTTTGTTTGTGTTTCCAGGACTTGTCTTGAACTATGCTACTTCTAGCATAGCTAATACTGTTGTCGCCAAGTGTCCCGATTTTAGTGTACAATGTGTGTGACTCTTGCTTTCATACAGCATAGTTTTTTATTGCAACTGATATCTCTGAACATGTCGTTATTAACAATTATTTGCAGTGCAAGCCTCCTTTGTAATGACTTAATGAACTCAGAGTATTATGACAAAATAATGAATAAATTTGATTGCAAGTTTCAATGCGCTGCGCATTTTAAATATTATGCTGCATATTATAAATGTCTGTACGGAGTATGACTATCGCCGACATAGAGAAAAGTACTTCAGTATCTGTATTGCTGTATATCTATTCCGGAATATTTTTTTGTCTTTTTCCTGAAATATTTGTGAAATATATCCCGTTACGTCAATTACAAATGTATCTCAGTATCTTTATTTTAGGCTTCAAACCCGTGTATTTCGATATCTGTATTCTCTCTCTCTTTCGTACCAGTAAGCGCGCTGACAACTACGCAGGGGGTGATGAAAAGGCGGCAAGATTCCTTTATCAGTGCGTGGCATGACCTCGGGTGCATTTTTTTTCCCTTTGGAACACACGTCTTACTTTCAGTGTAACTGCGAGCCAGTAGGAAGCCTTCATGCCCACCGGTCATGTAGCTCAGAGCGAGCTAAGGTTACTAAGATCCTTCTATTCTTCAAAGTGTAGCGCCATAGAGGAAGGAATAAGCTGAGGAGAGGCCGTTACGTCACATTTTGCGAAGCCATAGGTAGGGAAGAGTCGATAACTCCACCTAACAAAGGTTATCTCACAAAGCCTGCCTTCACGGCAATCGAAGTTTTATTCCGACACGATTGAGGCGTATTGCTTGCCGTTTGATGTTTTACTTTCCTCGGCGAACAGAAAAAGAAAGAGCTTGTCATCCTCGGCAATGCTATTTGAGAAACCGACAGTGCAACAAGTAGGCATCTAGATAGAGTCAATGGCTTTTTTCAAACAACGCTGGAGGATAGCGGAAGGTTCATTGGGGTTAACTGGTCACGTGCCGAGCATAGTACTATGAGGTAGCACAAAAGAGCGAAGAAAACAGGAGAGACATAGAGGGCTCGGAGGAAATCCTCTCTTTCCTGTTTGTACAATGGTTTGAAGAATAGGGGGACCTTAAGAGAGAGCAGGCATGTTGCGATGCGCTAATTATGCAGCTCTCGATGCTCAAATTAGTCAATGACTTTGGGTTCATGCTATCATCATTTGGGTTTATGGCATTATTTGTCGAGAGAAGAAGCAGTGGTTTCTAGCTCTAAGGCCACTTGTTGTGCTATAATGTTTGGATCACATGTTTCAGGAGCCTGAGAACATGTGAGCCTCGACTAACGATCGGCAGCATCTAACCATGCTGTAAATGTGCCGCAGCGAGTGTGTTTTGAGGTGTCCACCGACGTGCTCGTCAGTCTGAAATTTTTATGAATGTATAAGTATGCTATAGTGACTTTGCTTCGTAATGAAACGGGTAGTGGTTAAGGATGATTTCAAAGAAAAACACATTGCTTTTATAGTCAGCATGAGTCCTCATAGAGTAGAATTTTCAGCAGAAACAGCAAAGAACTGTGATGCACGATTTGAGTAGAAATCCCCCGATAGTCAACAGATGGTATTTGCTCTACACCACAGGGACATTGCCAAAGGTCGAGAGGGTTCAAACCCCCTTCCCCTTGAGTTATTTCAAGTTAGCTTGCATGTACACACACACACAAAGGCATGCACAAACGTATATAAAGTATAATTGAATCCCCCCTCCCCCCAAACGAAACAAATTTCTGGCTACGACCCTGCTACATCATCCAGCTTTAGCTACCAAGTTTCTTTACACACTCTGTTAGTGATCAACATATGCCAGTTTTCACTGGTATAAGTAGCTATGGCCGAAAGTGTTTGTCATGTACAATAGCAGCTGTTAGTTTTAAATTTCAGCAGAGATCCCAGATTAGGAGCCTTGCAAAGAATTTTGAATTTTAACAGACAACCATGAAGTACATGACACAAATAAGCTCGTTTAATTACAGTATGTACAGTGTAAGCATCATTTCAATCACTGTCAAAGGACACGGGGCAGGCACAGTGTACCTATCTACAAGGCAAAATAAAACTTGCCAAGCACAAATTCTCAACTTCAGCACATTCTACAGTAACTACAGCATCCAGATGTTTGAAAACAATACGTTCACTCTCTATGTATGTTTAGCAAGTTAAGTGTGTTCCTTGAGTTGTCTTTTGCTGGTCTGCCATTCTTGTGAATACAATTATGCACTGACTGCTGAAGCGATACATGTCACCTACTTTATAAAAGGCTGCCATCACACATTGACTGTGCAATGGAAGCTTCGCTCATTTAAATCTCTACACAGACATTGCGCAGACATACTGTGAAAGCCTGTCCACTTTTACAATGCAGCATCTGCTAAGCCGTAGTAGGGCGGAAAACAGCAGAGAAAATAAAACTACCATGATGGCTTCGGGGCAATGTTATCACTAAAGCTGTGGATTTAATTACCATGCTTTTCAATGAATTTAGATTCATAATAAACCATCCAAATTGTAATACTTCACTCACTGCCTCTCCAACTACTTCCAGGCACAGCTTTTTTCAGCACAGAACGAGCACCAAATCACACTAAAGAAAGAAAAATTATAAAAATGTGCAGGCATTATCTTGCAGTGTTACATAAAGACAACCAAACGTGCTGCTTATTTTTGTTCCAGTGCCATGCAATGCTGCCCCATGAAAGGTGCACACAAATAAAATGCTTAAAATGTTTGTCGACATTCATGTTTCCCTCATCAATACTGCCAGCCTATTAGCCCATCTACAGCAGTACACAGGTCTTTTCCAAGGATATCAAATTGTACCTAGTACACAAGTCTCTTCCAAGGATATCAAGTTAACTCTATCTTGCACTAGCACATCCATCTAATGCATGCAAACTTCCATCCCCGACTTCCCTTCTCTTGCCTTCACAACTATTCTGTAAATCTAATGCACTCAAACCTCACTATGACAAAGCTGCATCCTGCACGCCAATATGTTTATTGTATCCGAAAATTCATTATAAAGGTATATTCCTAACACTATATTACAAGACTATTTCTCATTTACTTCATCATAACTGATATTTCGTTATATCTGGGTTCATTATACGAGAAGTTTCAGTGTACACTACCGATTACCTTGCCTACGCATTACATGACTTCCTCAGCTCCTTTTTTTTTTCTCTTGATGCTGAGTAGAGTATATATGACCCTTGTTTGCTTTACATTCCCTACCACTGTCTTTCCACCCCTTAAAGTTTTGCCCATCATTTTTATTGAACCGTTCACTGCATGGTCTCCAGCATTTGTCGTGGCTAGTCAGAACTGTGGGGTTGCTACGACAACTCTGTTGTGTGAGGATGTTCCCGACAACAGAAACCAAGTATTATGGAGATGAAATGCACCGAAAATCCTGGTGTATTACACGATGTGAAAACTAATACAGCACTATCAAGAGCTGCTTTGCATTCGGGTAACTTTTCCCTCCTTGTTTAGTTAACAAGCAAGTGCAGAATTTCTTACAGTTTAATTACCAGGAGAGAAAACTGGCACCAACATGCTGCTATATGCACGGAAATACTGGGATGTGTCAAATATAGATTGGCATGATTCATGAAAAGTCGAAATACCCCCAAGGCGAATTTGGCTGGATGCATTCTTTGAGCCGCAACACTTAATTTTGTCCTGGAGCAGCACACAATATTCAAATTTTTTTCTTCGCACTACACAGAATAAAGTTGTAATTAACTTTGCAAACTTCTGCTTCGATGCACAAATTTATGAAACACAAAAAGTTGCGATAGGCCACTGAAGTTGGAACACAGGCAATAGGATTAGCATTCACTCTGCAAATTTGGCACCTGTTTCTTCCTTTTGCTATTTGCTTATGCCCTGCAGCTTGGCAATCCTTTATGGTAAAACTTCATAGAGGTGAATGAGGTTTGTTTATGAAATTTTTGTTTTAAAGAAACCTTCTTTGTGCACCTGTATCCGTATTTTAGGCCAATCCCTCAACAGGAGCCAACAGAAGTCTCACAGATGCGTATGTACCATGATTTTCATGACGACACAGTGCTCCTTATGAAACTTGTATAAATGGTGGCAGTACATTTCCCTCTATATATTACTGTGAGAAGCTAGACAAGTATTTTCTATATTCCATTAGCAATTTCTTGTTTTAAGCGTAATCAAAATAAAAAAATTGTAAAACTCAATTGTGGGCCCAGCGAACATTTCTTCCCACATTAGGAGGAAAGCAGGAGCTGTTTCAGAATACGTTAAACACCCAACTGTGGTAATTTCAGTATATTCAAATCATTTTGTATACATAGCACAGTTTTGAGAACAACCTAATAATTAGTAATATTGAGCAAACTATACCACAGCTTCTTACCATCTTGACACTATGCCTATACTTAGATAATGGTGCTTGAAGAGTTATGTCACACTGTTTTTGAAATTAAAGCTCAAGAAAAAAGGCAATGTGGTTTCACTGAAAAAAAATCGTGCAAATATCAAAAACCACAAAACCCCTACTTTGTAGTAGCAATGCATAATAATGCATGTACTTTGTAGTAGCAATGCATAATAATGCATGTACTTTGTAGTAGCAATGCATAATAAAGAATACACACCAACATAAAAACAATCGGCTCAATGGGCCCTCGTATATTAGCATCTAATTTCAATCATACCCCTTTCATAAAAGCATGTCATCAAGCAAAGATACAGAGCGAACCAACAACAACAGTTAAAAATGGAAGGTGGAGATGCTATCCAATTTACCTCCAAAATACTTGCCATAAAATGACATACTTACAGAAATTAACATACTAAAACAATGTCACTGTTACATCTTCCATAACAAGTGCTCTGTACCACTGCATGTAGTACACCATTCCAGTCGTGTGCACACTTTGAAATCATATGGTGCTGTGAGGGCCGACTGCAACTGAATATCACCTTAGCTAAATTTGTTATGTGTGAATAGTACATGTCACCAAAAAGATACTGGCAAAGCTGCAGAACTGGTGCTTGCCTGATTGAATTGCCAGCAGCCATTAACAATACCTAAGCTAATTCTGGATGATTTTGGTTGTTGTCATTATAATTTACAAAAGGCACCACTTTATCTGTGCATCTAGAGCAAATGTTTCCTATCTTAAAAGAGTACCAAAACAAAAAGTTTTCAGTAACATTTTTTTTTTTTTTTACTAATGAAAGACCAAGCGCTCAAAAGCAAAAAAATTTACTGGCGACCATGAGAGCACTCCAAAAAAGCATTTACAGTGCGTTTTTAAAATTACTTTTAATTTCAACTGTACCCTGACGTCACAGCATTGCAAGAGCTTCTTGTCACATGCTCGCGCAAGATACCGCGTTTCTACAGCCATTCCACTCCATGGCTCTATTGGCGACACACAAGCAGCCATTTTGAATGTTTTTGGTGATGTGAGAGAGGCCATGTTCAATGTTTCGGTACCCAACTTCATCACAAATAGTTATACTAGAGTGTGAAGCCACCAGAATTGACATGGTAGCCTGATATCACAATGGTGCCGATACCGATAGGTGCATCATGTGAAAATTGGCTTTAATGCAAAAATAAAATATCTGTTCAGCATTTACTGAGCTCCACACTTGCTCAGAGCCGTATCTGTATACAGCAGACTTGTAAGGCAGAGCAACCTAGCCTTCGAAAATTCATGTATTCGAAGGTTAGTGCACTGGCTCATGCCACATCAACACCAGCTCGCAGCAGCCATCAGTTACATTTTTTAAAAGCCCATTATAATGTATTTCACAAAAAATAAAGAACTTCAGTCATTGCTTACAAAAGATTTTGAAAGCACTCAAAGAACAAAGTGAAAAGAACTATAAAACATGCTAAAAAACGTCTCTGTCTACAAAGTGAACTTTAAAAAGTGGTGCACTTCAAATGGGCCAGAAAGTGAGAGTGCAGGTAAATACTACTACAAAACTGGTCGAGATGCTCATTTAATTGTGAGTTTCCACCATATATTCTTCTTTTTAACACATTACAAAATGGCATTAGTGGAGATACAGCAGAATAGCAGACCTGCTACACAGTGCAAAACATGCTGGGTAGAAAAGAAAAGCTGGACAACCTGATCCCCTCCACATTTCCCCACCAAAAAAATTCTAGGTGACCACAATAACCACACATGCATCAGCCATCAGTCACGTAGTGCTGCAAGGCGCTTGGTGAGGGCATCTTCAGCGGCCTGTGAGCGACCTGTGGAGGCAGCAATGGTATCAGCCGGGGTTAGGCCCGCCTGGTTGAGCTGGTCAATCATTTCAAGGCCACTCTCCTCAGCAACTTGCTGGATCAGCTGGTCTACCTGGGCTGCAGGTGCAGTTGTGGTTGTGGCTGTGCCCATAGCATCTTCCAAAACTGAGCTCCGCACATCCAGATCCTCAAACTGCTGCTCAAACTTTTCCATGACAGCTGATACCTTCTGCAAGTCCATTGAGTTGATGGCCTTATCAAGTGCTTTTACCACACCACCCATATTCTTGGTGACCTGCAGAGAAGGAAGTTTGTAAAAGTAAGTATAGTTTTTATAAGGTTAAAGCAACATGTACGATGGACATGAAACAGTACAATAAGGCTGCTAATGTCATGATTTTATGAATGCACATGATAGAACTTTTATCAGTTGTACATTAAGTACTTATCTGCATCAGATATATAAAGTATATATTTTAGTCTGGATAGATTTATAAATGACAGGCAATCAATATCCAATATCATGAGTAAACCTTGAAAGCAATATACAGACGTACAGAAAGAGTAGGATTACGGCTAAACAGCCATTTGGGCTAGTTGGTAACAATTCATTCTAAATGCAAAAAGCGGGGCGCGGCGCAAAACAGGAACAAGATAAGACGACAACACAGGCGCACACTTGCATCTGAAGTTTATTGAAGAGGCAACACAATGAGTCTAGATAAAGAACGACAAAGAAAATAAAAATAAAAAATGTGGAGAAGGGTTAGGAACCGAAAAGTTTTGTGCAATGTGTTAATCAAATACAAGTACTCCTCTGATATGTCAATAGACGAGGGGCTAACACATCTTTCCCTGCATCTACTGATGTGGAAAAATGCGCCTTCATCATTTTTGGTGAAACAGGGAAAGCCATTGTGTTTTTTTTAGGTGAGAAACTGAACAATGTGCCAATTTTGTGAGCTATGTATGTGTTGCCTTTTCAATAAATTTCTAGTTCTGAGTGTGCACCTGTGTTGCCGTTTACTTCTCTTGTCCCTGTTTTGCACTGTGTCCCACTTCTCACATATAGAATGTATGTATGATTACAGATCAGAGCTATTGGACAATGAGCTGATTTCAAATTCTCTTTCTTTTTTACCTCATCTTTAAAATTAAAGCACTGAAATGCAACCAAACAAGTCGCGTCATAATTCAGAATAAAATCACTATAGCACTCAAATTAACAGAAAAGCAGGTGTTGGACGATTAAATAAAGTACAAAATGTTGCAAGCGAGGGTCATTTGAAACCTGTCAATGTATCAGACTGCAAAAAAGGGGATTGTTGGGCTAGTTTGTTTGCATTCATATTGGAACTGCGCAAAAGACCAAGCACAAAGAGAGAAATCGATGCTCGTGTTGTGAAGTTTTCCTCTGGGCTTTGTGTTTTGTGCTGTTACAATATGAATGTATCAGACATCTACATGCTCTTTCTTACTTCAAAATTATACGCATTACGTTCATGGGCTATTTCTCTTTTGGTCTGTGCCTCTAAAGAGCGAGTGAAGATGGATAGTAAGTCTCTAAATGTGAATCAACAAAACTTGCTGCTGGACAACTTGGTTCATACTTGGAAGGAAAAGAAGACAGACGACATGGACAGTGATGGAAGCAACATTTTGACTTTTGGAGAAGACTGTGGAGCAGGAAAAATGGTGCTTTGTAGTTGCCTTGATTGTTTTTGGAGCAAAAAAAAAAATGCTAGCCTGGAGCAGCTATAGGGGGTATGCACTTGACATCATCCGCGAGCATCACTAACATCGGGGTCACCATTTTGAAGGTCCGCGCACTCGCCACAGGTGCATAAAATTCGTTGCATGCACTGTGTTTGAAATCTGCACAGAAACTTGGCTGCTTAGAGACCTCCGGAGCACTTTCTGCAAGCTGAAACATGGACAGCAAGACGGTGCATACAAACAAACCTTCAAAATGGCGTGGCAATGATGCTGCCCTCTTGCAGATTAAGGCTCAGTGCATGCCCCCCTAGGTGTTTTTGGAGCAGGTAGCCAAATATTCCAAATCACTCCTGGAGTTTAATACATCATTTAACCTTTTCAGAAATATTAATATTTATTATTAAACATATTGCACACACAATAATCACTGGAAATTGCAAGAAACATTATCCGTGTCTCCTGTGTATATGAATGGTTATTGTACAAAAAAGTAAGAGCTATATTCCTATTTTTTAAAAGTAGGCAGATTTGAAATTTTCAAAAACCACATAAGTTAAATTAACCAACATTTGAAATGCTTGTTCTTGTGACATAAATGAGGTCAAAGCTGATGAAATGTGCTAAATGTGATGAGTTACATATCAAGGCCATCACAGCAGCAGCTAGTTTGGCCAAGGAGTCTCGCACACATTTCACCAAAATAGTCTGCTTGTAAGGTAAAAATATAAAACTATATATAGAAAATGCTAGTACATGTAGCATTGTCAATATTCTAGTATACAGCTACTACACAAGCTGTATACTAGATGACAGTATACAGCTTGTTTTTGTTTTCACTTAGGCTCACTGGATAGTCCCACGGTGTAATTTTAGTGCTGTTAGTTTCCCCAATGCCACTTCGGAGCAGTTACTAACAAATATTGCAGTGCTGTTAGTTTCCCCAATGCCACTTCGGAGCAGTTACTAACAAATATTGCAGTTTGGAGCAGCATTTCTCTTTTGGAGCAGTTTGGGGCAGCACTTCCATCACTGCATGGACGAGCACAAACTTGTAACTAGCTTTACTCATATAACTTTATTTCAAGTAAGTAAGAGCCTTGATAGCACTGACAGGGAACTGATGGCATCCTTTTATAACTCGACTAGAGGGGACGCCTGAGTTGGCCAAACTTTCTTTTTTACTAGATTGTAAAATGAGGTTCTTACAGGGCCTGTTATCGCTCTCTCTCTCTCTCTCTACAGAGCGTGACTAGGTGATCACCGTTGTTACCACGTAAGTGAAAATTAAAGTTAGTTGAATGTTGACGCCCATATGTCTCCTGAGGAGTTTGCGTGCAACCATGTTTTCATGCTCTAGAAGTGAGGTGCATCATAAATTTGGTTAAAAGTTACCGAGTGACGACCACGGACAGTTTGCTCGCGTTTCTGAATGACGTCATACAACACCAAAAAATGCAGTTTCTACGAACATTCCGCTTTACAGCAGGCAACCTAGCTACATTGTAACGTCGATGCTTTACGGTTTAGAAGCGAACTCTGTCTCTTACTTGCTTCATGGCCATGGCACTTTTGATCTTGGAGCTCACAGCGTCCACCTTGGAAGACATGCGCAGGTAATTTATGCTTTCGTTCTTCTTGCGGATGGCGTTCTCGGCATAGATTCGCGCACCTTCGACGTTGCCCTGTTGCAAGGCCTTTTTGATCTTCGCCTTCTGCAGTCGCTCATCCTTCTCCGCCTTCTTGGAGAGTCGTTCGAGCTGTTTGCAGCTGAACCGCAATTGAAATAGCATGTCATCCATAACGTCCCGTTACAGTTGGGCGTGCCGTTAACTCGTCGGCTGACACGCGTGAACGATATTTCAGCACAACCGCGTACACCCAAGGCCCGCCAAGTGTAAGAACTGTCAACGACGGTCTTCTGATCGTACTATGTTACGTCTACCGTAGTGCACTGTTTTTCTATGTAAGTACTACCTTCTACCTTCGCTCTCGACGGCTGCGTTCTGCGGGCCAGCACACAGTGGGCGACTTGCAGCGGATTTTTATGATAATTGCACAGGCTTGTACTCTACTATACATGATGTATACATGGGCTTGCATATGCATGAGGTAACCGATTCTTCAAAAATTAGTGTCGCTTATTGTTGTGTTTATAAAGTGAGTATGATATGAGCTAATGGTACAATGGCTAGAATAGTACTAATGTTTTTTTTTTTTTTTGATCTAACAGTGTATGAGCAGCTCCATCAACATCGACAACTACCACTGTAGCACAGAGAAAGTAGAGTGTACTAGAAGCTTTTGAGTGGCGCGAGCAGCTGCCTGGAAGAGGCCGTTTCGGCGTGGAATGATGCAGTGGCGCTGGCGTCGACCAATCTTCCCGGGCGGATGGCTGGCAGGCGTTCCGCGTACGTGTTGGTACCTCTCTGTCGCGCCTAGTGTGAGGATGATCTCCCTCTTTTTTTTTCTTATTCACATACCTCCCCTTTTTCGCGCAAATAAAGGTTATTTGACATTATTGTTATTGAAGTTGCTGAGGCCCGCACTGCAGCCCGAAGCAGCATAGCACATTGTACAATATAACGAGCGCGTTTTTTTTTTTAATTTTTAAAGTGTACACATTTTAGACGAGTGGTCTCTTCGTTTTGGCTGCACCGGCTGAACCAGTTCAAAGGGTGCAGCACCTTCGTCCTCGTTTTGCCGGAGCAGCGCGCGCCCTCTGTCGCACCCTCTGCACTGGCTCCCTCGTTTTGTCTAGGTGTAAGCCTAGTTCCTGACGAGTTCTGTACCGGCGTGCACGCACTCCAAAGCAGGTGCAGAGTAGTGCAGCATGGCGGGCGTCCCCCCAAGGCCAGAGCAGACGACGTTGCAAATAGTTGTTCAGGGCGTTCAAAAGGAAGTTAAGGCACTTCACAATCCCGACGGGTCATTTATGACGGACGCCAACGGTTACGTCTATGAGGCATCAGGTAAGTCAGGCTGCATGCATTGCCAAAAAACGTGGTTAGCGGCCAGGAGTCGTAGTCGGTCAGCAAACAGCCTCGTAGCATTGCTTATGCTATGTCGGTATTTTTAATCTTGGTTTTCGCCCTTGCAGACGGCAAGCGCGTTACGTTGCGGTTCATGGCAGGGAATCGTGAAAATGACCCCCCTCCGGCACAACCGCCGACGCCTTCTCCTGCCTGCGACGGCGACGTTGACAGCGATGGGGCTTTAGCCGCATTTCCAGCAGCAGCCGCGTCGGCTGAAGATGTGGAAGAGCTTTGGAGCGCCCGAAAAACAAGGTTCTTCATCGCCAAATACTCGGAAATGAAGGACTTGGTGGGAAAAACCAGGGCACTTCGGTATGTCATCCTATGTCCAAAATTATTTGCAGCTTTTTATTATTCCGTTTCACTCTAGGCAAGCACCAACAAGATAAGGGCGCATGAAGTTCACAATGGCGATGGTTATTGTTGCCTACATTTTACTGCCAGCAATTTACATTTTACTGCCCCCCCCCACTGAAAAAAAATTTTGGCTATGCGCCTGACTGTGACATATACGTTTACATATACACACAAACAGTATGTATAGTCACGCACATATATACACAACGAAGGCATTCGTAATGTTTCATTAAGTCAAGTGATCTTCAAAAACAGCGACGGTGCTTTTGTGTTGGGCATTGCACAACCGCTGTCTTGCCGAAAAGGTGCAGCACCTCCAAGCTCAAGCCATGTTGCAAGTGTAGTGCTGCCTTGAGAATTTGCACTAGAGGGAATTGCATGTTGTTATTCTGAGGCACATCTCTAGCAAGTCTCGCCCTGCAGTCCTTGTGTCTTCACTGTCTGTCCGCATTTCTCTCGCACTGCCACTTTTCAAGATGGTGCAGCTCATTGTTAAAAGAGATATGCTTCTTGACACGTGCTACCCTATCTTTGAACCTAGACTGCGCCGTCGTGTCAGCAAACAAGGTTGCGCAGCTGCATGTTTTACAATGCAAAGACAGGTTAGAATATGGCTGTCTCCTTAGTGAAGCTTTATGATCCAAAAGAGTGATTTACACAATGTTCAACTTCTCCAACATAATGCTTCCCGCACAAAAAGAACGTTCGCAGTTATCAGAAGTGTGTGAATAGTGAATTTCGGAACCTAATCAAGTAAGAGTCAAATAGTAATGGCACCAAATAGAATACAAATAGTAATTGAATACTGTTTGAATAGTAAGTAGACCATTTTCAAAACAGCCTTAGAACAGAACATTTTATTTGAAACAAATAGTCACAAACTTTCGACAAAGGCCATTACAGTCAGTTTGAATCTACTCAAAATACCACAATTACGAAAACTAAGGTAATCTCGTATGCAGCAGGAACTAGAATATTCGTAACATTTTGTAATTGTAGGTTCAACTACGGCATTGACTAGCGTTATCAACGTGAGACTTTGTCACCTCACTTTAAATAAAATTGGGACACAAAAACAAAACAATTTACAACCAAACATTGCAGATACAACTAAATATGTAACGGAGCAGATCAACCCGTCATCACAACATGGCCTGCGCACTAAAAGCGGATAACAATGGGCGTTGAAATTTACATCTGCAAGAACAATTTACGCAAACGCAAAACTTGTATCTGTTGCTAGTCGTGAAGCTGCAAGCACTCGTAGTTCCCACCTTTGGTTATTACAAGACGAAGACAGGAGCTGATAAATGCGATACAGCTAAAGTGCAGTAAAAATTGAGCAAGAATGGAGCTTTCAGAAGCGCATTCATTCGACAATCAATATAGTGTAGGTAGTCTTGCAAAAGCTTGGGCTGCGTACAGGTCACATTAGGGATTGAAAGAATGACTTGTAGCTGTTTCGTTGTTTTGGGGTTCTCCCGCCAGTGCCGATTATTAAAAGAATATTTGTTACTTAGAATATGTGCAATTCGATTCGACTTAGGAACCGAATACAGTGCTGTTTGATTCATTATCCAAAATTTTCGAATAATCGAACATCCCTAGCAATTATCCCTGAAAGCTACACATATGAAGTACTAAGGAAAGGTTCATGTGCTACTGCAAGACTTGGGTCACGTTACGTCGCTTCCTTCTTTCCTACTAACTGTGCTTTGCTTTTTTGTTTAGCACAAGAAGGCTTCTGTGGAAGAAGTTGGCTGAGGCCATCAATACGGAGTTCTTGTGCAACGTGACTGCCACACAAGTGGAAAACAAATGGAAGTCGCTGGACAGAGCATATAAAAAGTCAAAAAAAGACAACAATTCTTCAGGTCACCACCGTGTGAACTGTGAATATGAAGAGTAAGTTACGATTGTGTCTTCATATCTTCAGTGATTCTCATAGTGTCTATTACAGAGAGCTGGCAGAAGTCTTGGAAAAAGAACATAGTGTAAATCCAAGGCTGCTCTTGGAGCCTGGAAAAACAATCCTGCCTAGTGCAAGTCCAGAGTAAGTAAAAATTACTTAATTTGTGCTGTAGCCTGGAAATGACATGGCACCTGTACAATTACTTTCAACAGCACCAGCATCACTGAAGCACCTCAAGATGCAGCAGTCCCAGTCGAGTGCAACACAGCATCCAAAGTTCGGAGCAGCACAACGCCAAAAAGGAAGCGCCAGAGTAGGTCCCAAGTCACGCCGCTCTTGGAGGCATTAGAAAAAATGCAAGCTTCGAGAGCTAAGCAAGAGGAGGCAGCAGTGAAACAACTGGAGGAAAGAAAAAATGGGAAGAGGCAAAGGCAAAGCGGCATGATGAGCGCATGCAGCGATTCGATCGGTTGATCGACGTACTCTCAAATAAGGACGGGTTATAATATGGGCAATAAACTTTTATAACACTAGCAGTGTCTACTCCATCTAATTTGTTAAAAAAAACATTGCTTCTAGACGCGGCACCCCACTTCGCAAAACATTTGCACACTGAATAAATCGCGAAGCAAAGATGAACTTCTAGCACTGTTCCTTTGCAATGAACTCTCGCAGAGACTGACTGTAGCCTGGCAGACTGCAATCAAAATCTCCTTCACTTTCATCATTGCCCACATCTTCTTCTTGGGGAAGCGTTGCAAGTTCCTCAAGGAAGTCCCTTTCATCGTTGCACATGTTGTGTAGCACACACGCAGCCATAACTATATAGCAGCACTGTTGCACACTTTTTGCATCAACAAGGTAGAGCCTCCTAAAACGCTGTTTAAGCAGGCCGAAGGTGTTCTCAATAAGCACTCGTTGTTGACTGTGTCGTTTATTGAAGCTCTTTTTCCACGTAGGAAAAGAACTTCCATTGTCCTTGAATGGGGTCATGAGCCATGGCATCAGTGGATATGCACTGTCACCCAGTATATAATTGTCTTCACATTCCTGAATTGCGCGTGCAAAGAAGGGGCTCTCCCTCAGGACACGGGCGTCGTGAACCGAACCTGGAAACCCAATAAACACGTTCAGCAACTTGTTCCTGTCGTCGCAGATTCCTTGCAGGATTATCGAAGGCCACTTTTTCCGGTTGAAGTAAGACTGCGTAGATTCGCTTGGAGTGAGTATCCCGATGTGTGATCCATCGATACAGCCGATGGTGTTTCTTGGGCCCTTGCCTTTACTTTTGGCGAGGAAGCCGTTCTTTATGCGGGTCACTTCCGCGCTACTAGGCCAGCAAATTATCTCATCGCTAATAGCGTGTAAGAAGTGAACGACCCGTGTCACACAAACATGAACAGACGACTCGGTAACATCGAATTTGTCGCCTATGGCGTACATAGATATTTGTGAGCCTAGGTACACAAGCGCTATGAGGCATGTTTTTTCGGCACTGATTTGTTGGCGGCCTTGCACTGCCCTTGGGTAGAAGGCTGAAGTCTTGAACTTGGCCCTGAAACTATCAAAAGTCTCCCTGGACAGCCTGAAGAGGCGCTTGAATTCATACTCATGGTACCTGCCGATAATGCTTTCGTACCCGGGTACACGGTTGGCATCGTCGCGCACCAACGCGCACGCGACCAAGATGCACGCATCGTCGTACTCATCGTCGCAGTCACTGCAAACGGCACCGCTGACGGAATCGTCGTCGCTGCTCGAGTCCAGCAATTCCATCGCAGTCACAAGAAGTGCCATCACGGCCGTGTATTGATCGGACAAGGCGGCGGAGGCGGCTATTTTAGGCTTACACTACAAGGTGTTCTCCGGCCTGCACTCACGTCAACTCACGCCTTCGTTTTGGCTGTAGCCGTCGCGCGCTAGTGTCGGCTAGTGCCGAGGCGTGGTTGAGGCTGCACCTGCACTTGCTCGACCGGCGCTGCACGCTCACTGCACCGCTTGGCACCGCTTTTTCTGCACCTGCACTTTTCTGAACTAGTGCAAGCCAAATCGAAGATTCCTGAGAAACCAGCTGGCCGGTACACACCGGAAGCGCTCCCCCCCCCCCCCCCCCCAAAAAAAAGAATATGGTGCACACAAAACGAAGAACTCTTGGTCCATTCCCCGTAAAACACCAGAGCTGGACTCAAATAAAAGGCTCATTGCTTGTGGCTGCGTGCACACACGACAAAAAAGTAGGCTTTATTGATAATATTTGAAGAACAGCAGAGTTTTTCCAAACATCCCTTTGGTTTTAAAATATGGGAATAGATTCATTGTTGTAGGACCCACAGAAATGCAAATACGTAATACTGCAAAAGAATGTCTTAGGTGAAACATAGTAGTGGAAGATTTTGAGAGTTTAAAAAACGCAACACTGCAAAGCAGAGTCGTAACTAATGTTAATCATAATTGATAACATAAAAATGCAAGGTTTACATATTTATGAAACAATACATTTGCAATTAGGTAAATTGTAAAAAACGTAATATATAAAGCCAGGATACAAAAGATAACATAAAGCAAAGCAAACAGAATGACAGTGTTAAGGTTGTCTTTCCAAAATGCATTTAAAAAAAAAGATGTTATGGTCGAAAGATCGTTTGAAGGGACACTGAAGTGCGACAATGAATTGGCTTAGATCGATGAAATATGCACCGAGATACCTAATGCTGCTAAATTTACCATCACAGGTTTGATACAAAAAGATTCAAGATCAAAGATTTATTTTGAGATTTCGCGTCATTATTTGCACGTTCTCTCGCTTAAAAGCCTCATCTAGAAAAAAATGTTTTTCTTCTTGGTGTACCGTCAAAAAATTAAGAGTGTAAGAAAATATGCACGAAAAATGACATCCTTTTTACGCCACTGTAGCAATTTATAGCCTACTCAATTTTAGGTGCTTCTGTGCGCTTTTGACGCTGTAGAAGATTTTTCATTTTGACTTCATTCGCGCGTGTAGACCGTGGGTAAGGTCCGATGGTGGCAAAAATGAAGTTTCTGCTGCTCTAAAACAGAGTGGGACGCTTGCAACAAGCTGCAGAGCATCTGAGGCTTCTCGAACAGTTACTAAACTGGACTTGCTGATTAGTTTCTCTTGCACGAACGCTTCACATTGCACGATTCCATTGTCTGCACAGGTGAAGTATACGGCTCGTTGAATGCAAAGTTCACGAGTGCTAGGATTCAGTGAGCACGCTACGTACGACACGCCAGCAAATCCTGGAAACTCGTGCAGCGCCCATGATTTGGATGGTAGGACAAGACCACGAAGGTCACCGAGAGTGACAACCGCGTCAGACGAGGGACTTGAGCTTGCCTCGTCAGCTTCGTCGCCATCTGCAGAAGTTGCACCGTTGGTATCCACAAGAAGCTGTGCAGGAGTGCTAATGCGTCGCTGTTTTCTGTTGTCATTTTCAGCCGGCACACACTGACGACGCCGCTTTGTTTGGGTCCGCGGAGCCGGAGTTTTGAGCGTCAAATATGCAGGCAGGTTGGGCAAGATCGTCGGGACTGCATCAGGGGCGAGTGTCGGCGCTCCCCTAGGAATTCGGACTTGAGCACCATTGATAACATGTACGTAGTCTCTCACAATGAAATGCGGTTTGAAATGTAACTCGCACACAGCACAATCGGCGTCAAGCTGCTTGTCAAGCCGATGGAGGTTCCGCTCCCAAAGAAGTCGTCGTTCTTCGTCTTTCGGGGCCTTAAAAAGTGATACTTCCGAGTTTGTTGCACACGCGGATATCCAGTTGTGCAACCTGGCGCGTAACAATCGTTTAGACGCTACTTCTTCGTCACTTCGCGACTAAAACCGAGATGCCGGCCATGCCGCCGAGCCAGCCGAGTAAACCACCAGTGTTCTGTGGTAGATCGGGCGATGGCAGCGCCGCCGCTATTTTCGCCACAAGTTGGGGATGGAGAAAGCAAGAGGAAAGCGTTTCGGTCGCGCCACTCAAAAGTTCTAGTACACTCTAGAGGAAGGAAAGGTTTCCTCCGTGCTCCGTGCACTGTAGCATCACGTAGATAATAAATAATACTTAGTAGCTCTACTAGTTCCAGCTTCGTTGCCACCGTAGTAGGCGTTTGTAATGGCATAGCCTCTTAGATTTCCGTTGCCTGCCGGATGAGCGCGAAACGCCCGTCATTATGGCGATGCTACAAGTAGGGGTAAATATCTTTGTACTTGGCCTTTGAGATTGGCAATTTTAGCGTTTATTACTAATTTGGGAGGCTATTGAAGAAGTTGCCTGTTGAATGACAGCGTAACTTGCGTAGAGTTATTTATAATTACGTTTACGCTTTAAAAATTTTTCACAATATTTTTGTTGCATACAAGCTCCAAAAACGTAAAAACTTATTTGAAGACACCCCTACTTAGGTAGCGCCACCACCACAGTTCCCACGACAGCCGCTTTCCAAGTGACTGTCGATAATCCGGCAGGCAAAGGAAATCTAGGAGTCTATGGTAGTGAACAGCCGCCCGTTGTGCGACTGCAGCACGGTGGAGGAATATGAGTGAACTGCAGCTAGTGGGCCCATAAAAAGAAGAAAGAAGCTAACAAATAAGAAAGTTACCCCCGTATTCTAGAACGTCCCTTCAGTCAACGTTCCACCTTCACTTGAAAAAGCCGATGAAAGCGCTGTCTCTAGTCACGACAAGTCACTGCATATTAGCAATAATCTGCTGCAATTCTTGAGTAGCACAGCGCCATTTTCAGCCGAGCAGCAGCGCAGTGCTCAACTCTGTCAAGTGAAGGGGAAAAGTCGAGTCGAGGAGTGTTTGTGAATGCGGGGGTCTGAATGGTGGTGGTGGTAGTGATTAGAATGAAGAGGGAAAAAGGCACCTAATTTCTGTCTGCCTTCAGGCGACACGGCGCAGTGCCTTATAGGGGTGGGGGGAAGGAGGGATAAAAAGAATAGAAGGAAAGTAGAAGCAGAAGAAGACAGCCAACGAGAGGAAAAAAAGAAGGAGATAGGAAAGTGGGGATCCGGTCGAAGCAGTCCAAGGGCGGGGTGCAACAATGCGAGAGCTACACGGCGTCAGGAGACCGCGGAGGGCGAACCAGTCGGCGGGAGCTACGCTGAAGTCGGGGATCGCGAGGGCACAACCGTCCAGCTTGAAATCCTGCGAGCGAAACCTCTGAATGGTTTTCGTCTGCCCCTCCGTACGGAGCGGCGGGCGAGAGAAACCATCAAGCAGGATTAAAAAAAAAAAAAAAATTAGACACCCTTTCCTTTCTCCGTGCCCTTAATGAATAGATGGATGAATAAATGGCTGGATGATTAGATGTGGCTGTACTCTTCAGATTGGGCGGCGGCTATTGCCACCTAGCCGTAATACTAATTGAACTAACCACTAGGTTTATCCTTTTTTTTTTTAGATAATGAAGTTGAAGACTGGTATTTTGCAGTGAACGGTTTATTATTCACTCATGCCTTGACTTTAGCCACCAATCATACAACCTTCTTCTAGTTAATTCTACCCGCTTAAAGTCTATTTTGCCCTCCCTGTCCCTAAACCTCAAGGTAGATAGATGAATGAATAGAAATAGCTGTACTCTTTAGACTGGGCGATGGCTAGCGCCACCAAGTCGTAATACTTAGTGAACCAAAAACTAGATTTTTTTTTCTTTAAAAAGTAAGTTTGAGGATTCGTACTTTGCAGTGAAGGGTTTAATTTTCACTCGTGCCTTGACTTTAGCCACCAATCAGATAACCCCCTTCTAGTTAAGTCTACCCGCTTAAAGTCTATTTTGCCCTCCCTGTTCCTAAACCCCAGTGCTTTGAAAAACTCTGCGCCATCATCCTGAACTATAGGGTGAAGCCCTTTACAGAACATTATCAAGTGTTCGGCAGTTTCTTCTTCCTCTCCACATGCCCTGCATACTGTGTCTACCCCTTCGTATTTGGCCCGATATGTCTTGGCTCCCAGTACTCCCGTCCTGGCCTCAAACAGTAGAGAACTACCCCGAGTATTATCATAGATCCTTTCCTTGGCAATTTCCTGCTTAAAAGTTCGATAGATCTCTAGCGCGGACTTCTTAATCAAGCCCATTCTCCACATGTCAGTCTCCGTTTCCTTCACTTTCTTGTTAACCGATAGTTCTTTTTGGTTTGGCCACCTGCTGTTTTTTAAGTATGTACCAGTCGATTTCCTGGTTCACTTCCTCCATTTTGTATCAACATTCTTCATGTAAAAGTAGCTGAAAACCTTCCTAGCCCAACGCTCCTCCCCCATTTCTCTCAATCGCTTCTCAAATTTTATCTTGCTGCTAGCTTCCCTGCCCTCAAACGATGTCCATCTCATATCACCTTGTACTCCCTGATTTGGTGTATTCCCGTGAGCTCCTAAAGCAAGCCTACCTATTCCACGTTGCTTAATTTCTAATCTTGCTTGAACTTCTGATCTCATGCACAAGACCGCATTGCCGAACGTCAGCCCAGGAGAGTAATACGACAGCGCCTCTGACGGCTGCTCTCTGCAAAAAATTCGCCAGTTTTACTTTGGTCTGGCTACTCTGTTAGTCATTCATATTTAAGTTGCGCTTGCCATGCGTGCTTGTTGCCTGAACGCTTGTGTGTTGAGCTGTGAGCTCTTCATTTCGTAACAATATCTGGCTTGAAATCGCTGAAATCACTAGTAAACGGCACAATGAAGCTGCTTACGCATAACATGATGACATCAAAGTGCATCAAGGGTGTCAGAACTGGTTTTCCCCTTGGCATTGTGGCAAGTTCATTCATAGCGGCTCACTTGTATCAGACACGTGCTAATATTTCCATTTTTTTCTTCTTTCAGGCTAGCGAAACAAAAGTGACAACTGTGGATTTTAATCCAGAGTTCGTGTGTCGCATGATACCTAAGCTGGACTGGGATGCCCTTTACCAAGCTGCCGAAAGCGTGAGCATATTGCGTGACAGATACAGTTCAAAACTGCTTTTACTAACATGCATGTGATTCCGTGTACACAGTTCGGGCAGTTGCTAAACTACTGAAAATGTTTTGAAGAGTAACTTGATTACAGCAATGTGAACTTTTCTCTTGAAGAAGAAAATGTTAATCACAAGTGTCCACAAAGTTTGTCGGGAGGGAGTAAGGACACACACACACACACACACAAAAAGAGTGAAACAGGCAGAAAGAAGCATTAGTATTCATAGTTGTTCTCGATGCTTAAAAACCTGGGTGCCCCGGGATAGGGATACGCACAAAAACATTTATGCTGGTGATGGAAGGCTAAACTGGAAGCAGTGTATTTTAAAGGAGCCACCCGACATAACCACGAGGTGATGTTGCACACGTGGTGTTTTTAATCAGATGCATTTCCCGTGAAACCATAAGAGTTTTCGCGATTATTTATAGGGAAAACTGGTGCTGGAAGCTGTCGCAGGCATGGCAAGGCATACATATGTCAGGCACATGAAATTGGTATCTTTTTTGAGGACTTCAGACACCTCGAGGACAGTTAACTTTGTGTTACGAAATTCTCATAAAAAGCTGTTATTCTCTTAGTAGTAAAAGCATCAGTTTTATTTTATTGTGAGAACTGCTCACATGTACAGGTTGTTTCACACTTAAGAAAAAAAAAAAACTACTGAGTGCTTTGCAATGTGCTCAGGGTGCTCCCCTCGAAGCGTGAAACGTACAGCCATCATTTTTATGAAAGATGAAAGGGAACACGTGAGTGAGCGTGGCAAATAGCCTCAGACCGGGCATATAGCTCGGTGCAATGGTAAAATGTGTAAATAAGAGGAAATAGCGCTGCCATTCCCTATATTGTGTGCTATCCATCCCACAGTATTTCATTTTTCACACTCTATGCTGCTATTGCAATAATGTAAAGCTATCATGACAATACTTTTTATTGAAAACGACCCTTGTTTGCTAAATTCACCTAAAAAAAAAACACATCAATAACAAAGCTTAGAAACACATTTGTGTTGGGGGTGTATGCATTAGAAAAACGACACCACTCATTCCTTTCATTTTCACATTTTGCCAGTGTATTGTGCCACATGTCCAACAAGAAGATATTTGCTATGCAGTCACGTGTTTCCTTTCATGAAAAATTGAGGGACCCTTAAGCTTCACTTTTGAGAGTTGAACCCGACAGCCATATCCTGTCCTTGTTGTGTACTTCAACCACTTAGTGCATACTTTTTGTAGTATGATTTTACTCGAGAAGCTTAAATTGTGCATTACTACAATGTAATCAATAAAGTGGAAGGTGAGATGTCAGTGAAGCTTTTGCATATAGTTACAAGGAGCAATTATGCATGTGAAATATTTTCAAACTTGCTATGCACCCAATGCATAGTCCTAATGGAATACGGGTACGCTCAATGATGTGTGAGCCTATTTTTAATGGGTTTGCAGCTTTAGAAGACGAAGTCATTATGATAATCACTTGTTCTCATGCCTGATAGCAATGTACGCTTCTACTACGCAATATTATTGCGGTATTACATGTTGTATTGTGAAGCCCGTTTACAGGACAGGCATGTTTTGAAAGCATTAAAGTTATCTTCACTGCATTTCCAAGCAGAGGAAGTTACTCTATTTCTAAGCAGACACATGGCTGTGTAGTGGCACACCTTCTTGCTATGCAAACGGCCTGGGTTCGATCCTTACTCGGATGCAGAACTTTTTATTTTTTATTTTATATGCATCTTTCTTGAGCTTTGGGCACACACGAGATGATTATTTTTCGTTCATAATCAACGTTGCCAGAATTTCTGCAAAATTAGTTCCTTAGTGCTATTGTGTTAGAATTATAGATGTACTATAGTGAAACATATTATTGTGAGTATGAGCTCGAACACGTGAACGCATGTTGAATCGCCTCGTACCCTACATCGGCTTTTCCCCACAGCAGGGGCTGCTGTGGGGAACTAAGTGGAAAGGGCGGCGCGCTTATCCTAGCTGTTGACACTCCCTCCTTGATATAGTTGCTGCATAATGCAGCTTATCGCTTGTCAGCTGCTAGTAGCTGCTGTCGGTGATATGAATTCACATCAACGCGCTCAGCCACAACCAGTTGACCTAGCAGGCTATGAAGCTACAAAAACATTGGCTGTGACATAGCCGGCCGCGATGCACAGGCCATGCTTTTATTTCATCTAGATGCTGTTCGCTGAGCATTTTGATACGCATCAATGTTTTCAGTGAAATTTTTAATTTTCATGGTATCATTGCTAGCGGCCGAAGGCACGCGATAAACTGTCGTTTCACAGCAATGATCATGCGGGTATGGTGATGCGGGAGTGCCAACATTCAGCGGAAGAGCGCCCTCCTTTCCCCTCCAGTTTTGGCAGCACCATGCTCGTATCGCGTTATCTGTATTTTTAGGCTCTTGGCCGCGCACTCGCACATTCGAACTCGTATTGCTCACAATAGTACATACGCTCAAAAGCGGACACTCTCGTAGGGCCCTGCGGCCAAGCTACTGGGTTTCTTTCAGTGCCACGAGCAACTGGTCAGACTCAATAATGTCTTTAGCATAAATAAAACAAAAAAATTTTTCTTTTCCGATGCTGGGATTTAAACCCGTACCCTCATTATCTGAAAACGAGTGTTTTTACCACTAGGCTATGCACCCATGCCTCGACCATGGGAATACATGTAAGTTACATCTAAACCACATGAAGTGTGCCCTTTGTGCAAAACAAATACAGAAAGACAGCACTTTCTAATCAGACTTTACTGATTTTTGTGGTAACGCTATAAACGTCCTCAGCGAGACATGATGTAGAGCCGATATGGAAAATTGCACAAATCAATACAATACATTTTTTTCTTTGAAAACAATTAAAACAATTTTGATGCTAAACTTGGGTCGTAATGGTTCTCCTGACACGACTATTACAGGTGTTCATTAAGTAGAAGCGAGCATGGGTACGCCATCTGGCGGTTGGTCACACCCTTCCTTGCTCGTCCGTGAAAAGGCTCGAGTGGCCACTCTTTACTAAAGTATATTTCTCTATGACTGTACTATCTGCACCAAATGAAACCGGAACTGCTCCAAGTCTTCACGATGGTATAGTTTGCACCGTCCATGGTGATACGTGGATGGCGCATACTATACCATTGTGAAGGCTTGCCACTGTACGGGTTTCGTTTGACACGCATGTTTGTTGTCTGTTTATTCATATACTGTTTCAATATGGCCTGCAGATGAGTAAACTTAAATTGTAATATGTAATGTGGATGAATGAAAAATTTTATATTTTTTTCGAGGAAGCTATATTTGTGTCACCGTATTCACAATCCTTTTGCTCACTGCCAGCCAACACAAGCCTCGCAGACAGGTGTATGATAATTCCTATGACTGAAATGCAGCCGATAGAAATTGGCATAGATGGTGAGGCTACATTTCCTTCTAGATTTCACCTTTTGTCTGGAGTAGTGGCCATAAGATGGGCATCCTTGTGAAACCGGGCAGTGCAAAAATACTTGGTAAAATGCATCAGCATAAGAAGGGTGACCAAAAGCAAAAAAAAAAAAAAAAAGCAAGGACTATAGGCGGTGGACATGAGGTGGGCTCTTGTTTCAGGTATGAGAGACGACGGGAATGCTTCTTGTAGTCACTGCTTGATGCTGTGTTATCAACAAGAAAATGTGTATGCTTCCATGATGCAATTATTGCTGGCAGCCTAATGATGACTTTCTTGAATTTTCTTGTGAATGGAAAGAATCTACTTCGCATCCTATGGGACGAAGCAAGAAAATGTAAATGAGCCGTGAATGTGGCATAAATATGGCATGGGTTAAATCACAGCACTATACCTAGTATGTGTAAAGGTAAGGCTTTGCAATAAGCAATATGAAGTAGCTTGATTAGGTATATTTGAGGAAGGGCAAAGGGTGATTGCATCCTATCTAGAGGCACATAAAATGACAAAAAAAAAATTGAAAAAAATAGTTCAAGAGGTACTCTGCTCTGTCAAGTGTGCCAATTCAGTAAGCTTGCAGTGTATATTTGGTTGCCTATATATTGTCAAATAAACAAATAAGGTTTAGCTGGGATAGGTACAGAAAGCATTTTCTTGATTTCCGAGGTTACTGCAATGATGCAAAACTCTCGATGTTGCTTTTTAAATTGCTACTGGAACTGCATAGCATTTTTGCAGTTTTTGAGACATTTAAGTGCTAAGTGCCGATACCTTTGCATTGCAACCAGTAAGAAAAATGTATGCTGCCTGCAAACGGTTTTTCTGCACATGAGAAAAGAGTTTTGAGTGCTTCAAGGCAAGAAACTGTTAAGAATATTCAGAAGCACAGGGCACAAAGATATGAGGCTTGCTCACTGGCAGTGTTGAAGGCATTTTATTTACTTAATTTTTAATTTAATTTATTCAGCAATACTGCCGATACCATTCAAGATCATTGTAGGAGAAACTCATATTAATGTGTTACATAAAAAAAGTCCTAAAGCGAAGAACAAAACAAAAATTGAAAAATACACTGAAAACTAGTTAGTACAAAACTATCTCAAAACTGCTGCAATAACTATACAAAAGCGTCTGCGAAAAACCACAGCAGCTCGAACAGTAAAAAATGCATTTCGCACTATAATCACATTTTCAAATACGCACACATAATCATGAAAAAAAAAAGTCTTATTATGTCTCAGCCGATACATTCAAGTACAATAAAGTAAGGGCAGTATTACGATATAATCTTGCATTCACATAAAAAAATGAGAAAAAAGAACTGCACAAACAAGTGCAACAGCTTGAACAACAGTATAATATGAGGGTACTTCCTACCATTATCGGCATTTCAAAATACATGCTCGTGAGCATAAAAAAAAACATTCAGTTGCAGTTCATACATTAAAGTACTTTAAAGTAAGCACAGTATTACAATACACTCTTGCATTCACATTTAAAAATAAAAAA